GTAGGAATAGTACTGATTCTTCGTGAATATAAAGCATGTATGCATAAGGAGAGAAAAATAAGGCGCGCAAAAGTACTGAACACAAATGCAAGCATTAAACTTAATTAGTAAATTGAGAGAAACCTGTTTTGATGATTTTAAGAGCTTAATTATCAATGCAAAGATGAATGTGATAAAGAGGGGAGATTTTTGTATCATTCTTTGTTCGTGAAGTTTTGATCATCCAAGGATTAATTATTAGTCAGGACGTAAAGATTTTGGACTTAAATAATCCTTAAACAAAACATTTCTTGCAAGTTTTAGTACAGAAAACTTTTCGCATATACTGCATTATCATACATCATCGTTACTTTTTTGCTTTGCTTATGATTTTTGAATGATAAAATATTAATTACCTGTGCGTTAAATTATTTTAATAAATGAATATATAGTTTTATTAAGGTATGGTATCGTACGTCATTAAAGGTTGTTATATTACTTACATCTGTGCTACTAACACAATGATTATTGTATTAAAAACAACACATTAATGAAATTTGTTCTTATTACTTTGCATAAATTTTACCTTTTATTTTTATTTTTTAGATTTAAAAATTGCAGAAGTTTTATATATGTGTGCATGCATACCAAGTGATGGTGAATTGCATAATTTAATCAAAATTCACTTTACGGGATTTATAGCTCAAAAAGCGTCACTTTCTTGCATTTGACAATTTTCATTTTCATAAATAAACGATTTATTTCCATCAAAAATTTGCCTACGGTATTCTTGTAATAATTTTTGATTCGATTTTTCGAGGAAATAAATTTTTTAATTTTTATTTTTTTGAAATTTTAACACAGACAGCAGCCAATATTTTATATTTTAGCATGCTGTATTGTTTGCGAAAATATTATTTTCAGAAAAGACAATACTCATTTTATGACGTAATAATTAGAACAAGGAAGAAGAATTTTTTCGAAAAGATTAAAATAAAACTTGCCATTTTGTGTGAAAGGTCAGTGCTACCCAAAGTTGTCAAGGAATGTGCAGTGTGCTAACTAACCTCTGCCATCCACCCAACCACCCAACCACCCAACCACCCATCCACCCATCCATCCATCTCTCTATTGCAAAGTTTTATCTACAAAACTGACTTAATTTTTTATACACTTCTGCACACAAAGTGTTTTGCTTCAAATTTTAGCACAAAATTTATATTCTGAAAGATTCTAAAAAAATACAATGTTTTTTGATAAAAATTTTCGCCGTTTACTTATTTTTTGTCAAAATTTTGATCGAAATTTTATAAAGGCTTATTTTATTTTTTGGATTATAAATGCATTTGTAGTCAAAATATTATAAATAAATTCTCAACTGGAGAAATAATGCCTTTCCAATAGGATCAATCATTTTAATCTCTTGTAGACGACAAACTTAGCTTAGATTGGATTAAATTAGAGTTTAGCAATATGAAATGTCCCTTATCAGTTATGAGTCATTGTGAGTACTTGAATTCCTTAACACTTATCGATTTTTTGAGAGTGAATTTTATCAATCAGATAGATGCAGTGAACTGAAAATGCAGTGGCAGCTCTGAAGTAATAAGCAGAAGAAAAGTCTGTAAAGCAGCTCATTTCCTAATATTTAAGCACCTGTGCACCCATAAGTAAAACTGGTTATGACCTAAAAATCGAATTCATTATTTCTAATTTTCATCAGTAATCCTTAACCTTTCAACCACGCCCGCAAAATTTATGAAAACTTTTACTTTTCTATTTGATATATTTCCTTGTACTTTTTGAGAACAAACAAAGTTTGTTCACTTTTGCTTTTGCTTAATTTCGTCTAAGTAATTTTGTATAAATAATTCTTACCAAATATATCAGGCAATCAGAACAAAATTTATTTCTGAACTGTATTTGAACATATTTTAATTTCAATTTCAATTTCCAATATGTAGTCTATTTCGGAAAAAGCTTGTCATGAAATTTGTAGTAAAATTTAAATACCACACTCATTTGCATAGTAGATAATAAATTCTAAGTTTGTTATTAGCTAAGGTATACTTCCAAAGTCGAAAATAAATAGAATGCCAAGTAGAGTGTAAATATATTGAAAGAAAATCTCCGATATTTTAAGCATAACAAAAATTAGCTAGCATATTCACAACACAGTGATTAGACATTTTAATATTATCAAATTGAATATCCAATTTCTAAAAATTTGAAAAAAAAATTAGCGGTTCAGATCAGTCTTAGTTTAAACATGCGTGTTATTCATAAAGCGTGAGCTACTGTTCTTCTCCAATTGCTAGTTGTTATTTCAAATAAGTGCTTTAACCCTTATGATTTTGGTGCAATTAATCAGTAGCAGATTAATATGTAAAAATAATAACAAGAAAAGTCTGTTCAAAAATTAGCCAAGCGTAGGTAAAGTTCGTATTCCGGTATTACTTAAAATCTTACTCTTCCATCGTACTTCTCAATTCTTGAAATAACTTTTGAAGTAATTTTTTTGCTTCCAATCTCTGCTAATCTTTTTTTTATCTTCCGATTTTTTCTATAATAAAAATAACAGACAATTCAAGCTATGTTTAATTGTTTAATTAGCTACTTTTTATTCACTTTATCCGCATTAATTAATATAACCATGCAACATGTCCATTACTATGTCCATAACTATGTCCATTACTTTGATTATTCACTGCTATCACTTTGTGGCTAAGAACTGATTCATTTCATTCATAAGACTAACTGTGAACTATTCTCGTCGCTACGTTCTAATTTTCTTTGCAGTTCAAATATTTTTGAATAACGTCAAAAAAATTAATAATTCTTCTGAATAATAATTTTTATCATTTACTTAATAGATGACATTATTAATTACAGTATCCAAGTGTCTGATCAGAATGAAAGTTACTTTTCTTGTAGCATTGAGAAAAACAAAAACTCTTGTAACACGTTTGACAAAAGAAAATACATTATGAGAAGAAAATAACTATCAGTCATAAGAAAAGTAAATAAGTAATTACTGACATGAGAATTGAGCTGCATATTCCATTAAGAAAGTATTTGTCTTGAGATTATCTGAAATTGCAACTGTGAATTCAGTCGAAAAAAAGTCCAAGCAGGTTTTTAAGCTATTCACAATCAGAAACAAGTTTTTGTCATTCTCTCAGTAAAATGTAAATAATTTTTTGATGATATTTTCAATTTTTCAAAATTTGATTAATACTGAAACAAAAATAATACAGGAAAAACTCTTAACAAAATTTGAAAATTCGTTAAAATCATACTAGTTACAAATCATTCCTTGTATCATTACAATAATGTACTGTTCTGCGCATAACTGGTTACATTGAAGTGAGAAAGTGAATAAGTGAAATAAATTTTTTAGACTGGCATTTTGTTTTTTATTGCTAAGACAAAATGAAAATTAATTTGAATTTCAAATTTCAATATGTAGTCTATTGTGAAAAAAAAAATGAAAGAAACTTGGTTTGAGTTTGATGAGATTATTCACTGGCTTAATCAAATCTTTTTAAGAAGTAGTGAATTTTGACTAAATGATTGGACTTAGACTAGACTGAATTTGAAAATCATTCACACATTCACTTTCAAGAGTAAGTCAAATGAAATACTCGCCATTTACTAATTTATTCACGCGAGAATTCATTCATTTCTTTGGCACTTTCATTTCAACAGTAAATTGGCGAAAAAGGTTTTGTTTTTTCTTTCTTTCACAGTTTAAATTTAATATGAGGTTGATTAAAAGAGTAAGATTACAACGCGGGAAAAGTAAATATATACTTTTTAAAATTAGTCATTCATTTTCAACATTGCAAACAAGTTTATAAGCAAAGAAACAATTCTAAACAATATCAAACTGTACTTGCACTCTTTAATATTTTTACTGTTAGAATGACATTTTCAGGTACTCTTATTCAGCCTTTAAAAAATATGAAAAAATTTATCAAATTTCTTTTCATATATAAAATTTAATTAAAATTTTAGGGTAGTGTCACCCGATTTTGAACAGAATATTGAAAGTAATAACGATGACATACCATTATATTATTGCGATAAAAATGACAAATTGAAGAACGATAACAGGTCTTTTTTCAGTCTTTTTCATCTAGACAATGTCAATTTGCAGAGTTTAGCTATATGTTATTTGAGTGAACTTACTTTCGTTCGTTAGCGTTCAAACATTGTGACATTAATTATAGTTATTCTGCTATTACTAACATGGTATAACAGTTGAGCAATGCAAACATAAGAGCTATCATAATATCGTGTGATACCAAGTATGATATCTCCAAGGGATCAAAAATATGATATTTAAATACATAATAAGAGATATATGATCGTCATGATTATGATATAATCAAAATAAGGCATATTAAAGCAATACAAAACTTTGAAAATGTGACAAAAACCATTGATACTATGAATAATCATATTGTTAGTAATAAATACTCAATACCCTATCAGTAGCAGCAATTCTTTAACATTAGTTTGGTAGTAACTTTAGGAAAATATTTGCAAGAAATGACCGATAACAAAGAAAACAACGTGGAAAGTCATATGTGATAAGTTCTAAGAATGTTTTTGTATTCTTCCACATAAGCTACGTCTACCTTTTTATTTTAAGAATTCATGTAAATCTCAGTACGCTTTTATTCCTCTCAAAAAATGATCAGAATCAGGAAAATATTCATGACTATATAACTGAATTTCTGATAAAAGGCTGCAGAATCAAGAAAGTAGCCACCGTGACAAAGCTTAGCACGTTTCGTCAGTTTTTTGCAGACGAGCATTGCGATCACTTTCAATCGCTTCAGTAGTTACCACAATATTTATCGTAATTGAATTTCTTGGTGGTTACTTTGCAAACAGTCTAGCAGTGATGACCGATGCTGGACACATGGTTTCAGACTTACTAAGCTTTTTTGTGTCCATCGCTGCTATTAAATTAGCCGAGAAGGAGCCAACAAAGCGTCTACCTTTTGGATATTATCGTGCGGAAGTACTAGGTGCACTAGTCAGGTAAGTATTTAATTAGTAAACACCTCTCTTTTTAAGATAGTTATTTGTTATTTATTTTATTTGAATCAAATACTAAATGATAAAATATGAACACTCAGAATCTGTAAATTTTAAACTTTCAATTCGCTTCTTCTTACACGTAATAGTTTACTTTTCAGTATATTGATGATATGGACTTTAACGGCTGTCCTTGTATATTCAGCAATTGAGCGGACAATTCAGCAGGATTTCAAGGTTGATGCTGTAGTAATGCTATATACTGCATTAATAAGCGTTCTGTTCAACCTTGTTATGGGTGTAATTTTACATCTTGGAAAGATGCCACATTCTCATTTCGGTGCATCAGACAATCACCGGCACGAGAAGACAACCACATGCACCGAGGTTACTTTTAACATCTTCAAAAGTATCATTTTAATAGCTGTAAAGTTAGTAAACTGCAACAGCACCACTTATTTTTCAGCAGACTTTTCACATCGTTCCTTGCAATAATTCATTTCAGGAGCTACTTTTGATTTCAGTTAATTTAATAGCAAAAAACTACTTGCAAAATCTGACTAATGCAATTGCGATTCACAAGATGACTCACTCCCTGTCAATCTGAAATGATTATACATGCAACAATGTGAGTTGAGAAAAAAAAAATAATCAAATTTCAGAATGGCACCGACAAAGTTTGTCAGGAAGGAATTAATAATGCCAAATGTGGACATGATTGCAACCAAAATATCATCAAAGTGCCAGATGCACCCAAAAATAATCCGGACCAACTCATGTCCGTGGTTTGTATTCCTCTTTGCGATTGATTAACTCCAATACAATATAAATGATATGAGAACATAGAATGCTAACAAATAACACATGAAACCAATGAGGTATTTATTCCTGGCTTTCTCAACTGATAGCGAAATTGATAATATCCATCAACTAGAATTTACAAGTGCGAGTCTCAACTTTATATCTTTGGAGCACAGAACTTGAACTAAAATAGCCTTTTGAGAGCAATATCAACCTTCGAGCTGCATTCATTCACGTTCTGGGCGATTTTATACAATCCATAGGTGTTCTGGCTGCTGCAGTGGTCATCAAATTAACTGACTACCACTTAGCCGATCCAATCTGCACATTCCTGTTTTCAATTCTTGTCATGGTTAGGTCATATTTCTAATTTTAATCAAACTATTTTTTGACTTAGAAAACTAACTTCCACTTACTGCAGTTAACAACATTCCCAGTAGTTCGAGATTCTGTACTGGTTCTCATGGAATCATCCCCTAGGAACATTAATCTCAACCAGTTACACAACGACCTTCGCCTTATCAAAGGTCTCATTCATATATTTTGGCGAATTAAAAAAAATCTCCCGCGACGAAAATCAAAATTTGAAGCAAATTAATGCTTGAGGGTTACTTTTTAAAGCACTCCAACTAAACCATTTTACCTTAATGGGATAATCAACCTTAATTGTATTCATAAATATTCGCACATCAAAATGTTCAACGTCCTATGTTTTGTGTTGCATATCCCAATGATTTAGAAGAGTCGCTCATAAATAGATACTGTCTCTGAAGGCCAATGAATCCTGTATTCTTACTGTATTTTTAGTTAGAAAAATTTCCATTCGATTAGATCACAATGTATTCCGAAAAGACTTATAAGGACTGACATAATCAACACCTATCTGCTAACTTGTTAGTCACCTAAATTCCGTGCTATACAAAACTTGTATTAGCCAATAAAACTTCTTACTTGACAATGCCCAATTATGATTGCTAGTACAAAAGTTAACTGTTGAAGGCGTTCGAGAAGTGCACTCACTTCGAGTGTGGTCGTTAACACCAGATAAAACAGCCCTATGCGTACATTTAGAAACAGAGAAAGACTGTGATACAATGGTCATAATACATGAAGCGAACGAAAAACTGCGAATAAGTTACAGAATCAATTTTATAACCATTCAGGTGAGAGTAGCTACGCATCTATAATTCTAAACAAAATTCATGCATTTACACTTCGTTACACTGTTTTGTATTAAAGGCAGAAATGCATAAATTGTTAGAGCTCTTTTCTATTAAAGAACTATTCTAAATACGAGAAATGGTTAGTTCCTTAAATGAAAGAATAAGCATCAAATTTTCTGAAATTCCGAAACAGTGCACAATTGCCATACAATATCATGAAGAGCAACAATGTTCGTTAAGATACTAAAATATGGAGAAATTAGCATTTACTTCTAGTTCCAGTATTTTGAGTAGACTTCAATCTCCCAATCATGTACAATTTTCAAGAGCAAAATAATGAAACTTTCAACTCATCAGTCTCAAGTTCATTATAATCCAATGTATAATTAGTTCACTTCACAAATCCAAATGCCCATGAATCAAGAAAATTTTTTTATAGATGCAATGTGCACATAGCAGCCGATATTCGCCTAATCATTCATATTCAATTGCCACTGCAGTTCAAGAAAGAGCAGAGAATAGCTGAATGTACTATATGATCTGAGGAAATCCCCATCCTATTTGTTCTCATTGAGATTATAGATTCAAGTTTTACTGTATAATAATCGAATACAAGAAGTGAACAGATCGTTCCAGGAGTTCAAAATATCCTGCACAGTTATCGTAGGACATCATATTCTGCATTAAAACTTGAATAGAAACAGTCTAATACCGGATATTAATCCAACTCTATCACCATAATCATTTTTGTTTTTAAATGAGAACTTACGAAACAAGCACTTGCAGTGATATAATTTGGAACATTCGAAACCAACAAACGAAAAACTCTTCCACATAACACGACTACACGCAGTATTTGTGGAAAAGCGACATCATATGATTAAACAGAAATCTTGATTTAGTTTACATAAAATTAAGAACGCACTAATTAATGAAGAAAACCTTAAACTTGTATGCTATCGATCATGTACTACCTTAACATAACAATTTTTCTTCCCAGTATCTTTTAAGCAATCCGAACTGTAGTCAATAATACCAACCACTATGTTTTGCTCAAAAAGCACAAATACAGTGCTTATTCACAACCTAGCACTTCCCTAACTTTATTCCATGGTGATTTTTATGGTAAGTACAATTCAAAATGCAGTTTATCAGCATGAAAAAGAAATAAGAAGTGAATGATCTACTATAGAAAGTGTAAATAAAGATAAACGAGACTCTCCAAAAAAACGAGACAAATTTATAATTAATATTACAAAGTAGTATCATCACTGTCGGCATCAGCACGAGACTTAAATGAAATTGCATCATTCTTTTTTCAAAGGTGCACTGCAAAATAACTGATGAAGCAATATAGCAAAAAATTCATCAATTTCTTACCATATCTATGTTATTTTAATCCCAAAATAATTGTTTTAAATAACATAGAATTAATGCACTCAATCATTTAATGACCTTAAAAATTATACTTTACCAACATACCCTGTATCTCTTCCAGAACCACTCAACACAATATATGGAGTTTGCATTACTTCTTGCTTTTTAAGCTGTTTATTTAAAGTTCCCAAAGGAGTATCCATAGAATTCATCTTTTTCATCAGTTCTTTCTTTTCTTGTTTCCCTTGTCTCTTCTCAATTTGTTTCTTTCCTGGTCCCTTACCATGAAATCTAAAAAATGTTAAAAAATAATTAGTGTTAAACAAATACTATACCAAATATTTTAAATGTATGATAATCGTAGAAAATCCCATCAACATTCCTTAACACACTAAATCGAACTCACTTCCAACTAAGCACACGAAAAGCATCTTTTGATTCCATTTCTTTGCCCCGTTCATCCACATAAGTAATTCGTATATCAGGTTTGTAATCGTTTTTCTCTGGGAATGGTCGAACAGGACCAGTACCTGTTGTTCCCATCCTTTCCAATTTCTTCGTGTATTTTTCTTCAATATCACTGTAAAACGTTAAAAAATTTTAAATTATCTTAAAACTAACACAAACATGCTAAACTACTTCAGTTACCATATTTTAACAAAATGCAAAACCTGAAAAACATAAAAGTTTGTCAACATTTCGTCAGTCTTACAGGCAGTTTATTAACACATAAAAACAGAACAAATTTTCTAGAAGTTGCATGAATCAATTTTTTTAATTTTGAAGGTGTTCAAAAATAAAGAACGCAGCAGTTGCTCAAAAAAGAAAAAACATACTATCGACTAATTTCAATCTGCGAAAAACGTTTGCTTTCTAAATGTTTGAGTGATGGTCCCTTTACTTTACGTTCTTTTCCCGTATCTAGGTAGCCTTTCTCGGCAGCGGATTTCAACATTGCTGCAACACCTTTCGTTACATCGCGTTCTTCACCAAGAACGTTATGTGTTTCTTCATCACTTTCCTGAATACAATAAAAACTGAATGAAAAATAAAATATAACAACTGGCATTAAACACACGTCTCAATCAAAGTAATCATTCTGCAATAAATATTTGCTATTACACATTATGCACATTATTTGTAATCAAAAAATCTTACATCGCTCCCTCCAAAGGCACTCTTGCCTTGTTTCTGATCCCCATAATTAAATACTGATGCTTCTGTCCACCTTCCTTTCGATTCTTGCTCTAACTTTTTACGAATCCGATGAAGTCTGCAAATCAAATGTTCTACAAACTTTTTAACAATCTTGAGGTTTTGTTTTATCTATTAAAAAAAAAAAATAATACAACTGGATTTTAGTTTCAAATTCTTGAAGGAATCCAATCAACAATGTTTCAAGTATATGATCGTACTCACTCTGAGGATGAATCCCGTTCTTTCTGCTCTTCTCTCAGCTCTGGTTTGACAATATCTGTTTGATTCAAACCCTTAACTTCTAAATCTTGTCGATTTCCAGCTAAACCATAAGTCGGAATTTCGCCTTAAATAATAAACGAAGTTTGTTTTTCAAAAGAATGATTACAATCCTTTTTCAAATAAACCATAAGATCGTTAAAGAAGTTAACCTAGATTACGACAATATTCCATCGTCGAGTCAATAACAACGCCGACTTTGTGAAGTTTATCTTCAAATTCTATTGGCTCGTCTTTTATCGAATGCTCCTTCATCAGCTCATGAATCTAGAAAATTTATCATCACGAATGAGTATTATTCAACGAACTATAAATCCTAACACATGAACTATAACACAGTTTGCGGAACGGAATCAATTACTGATCAAATCATGGAAATCTAGCAATTGCTTGTGACACAAAACCTTTAGTGCGGCATCACTTTCAATATCATCAGCCTTAATTTCATATTGCTTCAATCTGCGAGTACGATCTAACATTTGTGTCAACTCTTCTTCAGCATCATCTTCAATCACAACGTTTGATAAATCAACTCCGTTAACGAAATCTAGAAAGAAGATTATGCTATATCATTTTAAATCAGATGGGAATTAAAACGAAAATACTGAAGCTCATAAAAAATGAACAAACCATCATCATCATCATCATCATCATCTTCTTCTTCTTCTACTTTTTTGATTAGTCTATTTAGATTTTGCAAATCTACATAAGCACTTGTTTCAGCAGCACGCCAATTGGTCTGAAGTGAAAACAATAGGATGATATACATGAAGTATTTTGAAAAATATTATTTAAAAAAATTATTATAAATGAAAATCATTTCAAACGCAACCTTTTTCTCATCTTCTTCAGGAAGTTCACCATCTTCTAGATTTGAATTTTTAGTAAGATTTTCCTCTTCTTTTACTGCCAATTCATCGTCAACTCGCTTTCGACTGGCTAACTTCTCTGACCTAACAAATAATTGATAAAGTTCAGCATAAAATACAAATTGCTAATCTTGTTAACATTGTTATTTCATATATTATAAGAAAAATCAATGTTTTCGAACGAACATTTTCATAAATTCAAAAACTTATTACATTAAATCATGGATTACAAAGTTTTACGAACTTAAACATCCTGCGTAACATACCTTTCAATATTTTCGGTTAAAGCATCTTCATCCGGAATAAGATCATCAGCTTTTAGTATTTTTTCTTTTCTCTTCCGTAACTTTTTTTCTTTCTTTGACTTGGGCCGGCGGAATGCGAGCATTTCTTCCTAAGAAAAGTGAATATCGTGAGTTGGATGAAATGGATACTTGTAGAAATAAAACTCACAATCGCTACTTACATTCCTATTCAATACCATTGCAAGTTCGCATAAAGAACACCAAAGTTTATGAAAAGAACAAATCATCGTCATATCTCAAACTAAATTATTTTGAGTCTCCAACAATTCAACAACACATGATTTTAACTCATTTCAACAAATGAAGTTTATCTTCAATTTCTAGTGGCTCATCTTCTATTGAATGTTCCTTCATCAGCTAATTTAATACCTGCGTATAAAATTCACTGGCAACCGTGTATTTTGTTGGTTCCAAAGACTCCAGTTGTTTATTTGCCATAAAAAGCTTTCGACGCATTTTTAATTCTTCTGCTTCTTTACTTGCGTCAACGTTGCCATCTTTACCTTTAAAACCGCATTTTAATCACTGTATGATTTCGATATTTTCGCGAATTTCTGTCCTGGAATGACTCGAAGCCAATCGAAGAGCAATAAATTGTTTGAAAAACTGATGCATGATCCTTTACCTTCCAGTATACTTACCTAGACGAAAAGTCTTCTTTGTTTCGCCTTCCAAATCCTCATCATATTTCGATAAAACACTCTTTTCTTTCGGCTAAAAAAAATGAAAGTTGGAAAGGAATCACAGAAACACGATTTAAAAGTAAATAGCAAGAATACAAACCATTCCATATTCATCAAACTCTTCTGCATATGATTCATAATGGCCTTTCTTTTTCTTCAGCTCTAAATTTTTTTTATGCCGCTCGTCTTCGATTAAATTTGGATTCACAAGTACTTCTTCGCCTTCATCCAGTACACCTTCAAACATATCAAGACACTCCATTAAAATGAATAGCTAAAATAAATAATGAACAAATATACACGAAACTCCTCAAACTCTGACCTTTATCTTCTAAAACCAAAATTGTTTCCCCACCCTCCATGAAATCTTCCCTGGCGTGTCCAACAATCAAACCAGATAAATCTGGCTTAACCTGAAATTACACAAATAAGCAAAAATGAATGAATTATTACTAACTAATTAAAACAAATTATGTAAAATTATTTGAAACAAGTAAATCATGCTTTCGATTTTTTTGTCATTTTGCCCTGCTTCACTGAACGTTCGCTTATCAATGCATTGACACCAAAATCTGCATCCATATCATCCAATATTTTAGCCTGCAACTTCATAATTTAGGTATATTTTTTATATGTTCACACGCATGGAACGAAGTTTAACACAACAAAATAATCATTAATTTTGAAAGCGACAAAAATATACTCTTTCTTCCGCTCTTTTTCGTTCTTCTTCTAGCTTACGATTTTTTTCAACCCAAGCAGATGCACCTTCCTCAGAATCTGAATCTGCTAATCCTTTAACTTTTAGCACTTTCTCATAGAGCTTCCGTTTATGACGTGCAACCTAAATTTAAATAAATCTTACACACCTAAATTTAAATAAATCTTACACATAAGTTTGTATCGAAATGTAATCCAATTTCGAATGGCATTTACTTGGGTTTAGGTATGTGTGAAATTCTATTGAAGAATTATCTAATAGAAAGCAAATTTCGTAAAGAATAACTACACAGAGTCTGAAAAAACAATATTTGAAAATTTCTTAAATATTTAAGAAATGGAACCTGTAGTTTTTCGCGTATTTCTTCGGCTTTCTTTTTATCGCCCAAATGTTCTGCTTTTTTGTGAACGAATTCCATTCCATCCTCTTTGTACAGTTTTTCTGTACTAGTACCTTGCAGATCCTGTCCTTTAGGACCATCATCAAGTTCAAGTGGAGCTAAACCAAGCGATGCACGTAATTTATTTGTTTCTTCAACTGACATACTTGTTTCACTGAAAATACAAACATACATATTTTCAAAACGCTCCGATAAAATATTTTAAAAAAAGTTTGAAATTTCTGATGACTAAATTTACCTAAAGATTTTAACAGGATAAATGAATTAAACGATAGTATAAATAAATCCTAAGTTGATAATTTGACGATGGTAAATGAATTCTAAGCATTTACTTTTTACTAGTTGAAGAGGGAACAGGCGACCTGTCTCTGTGCTTCCCTTTATCTGATCGTCTTGATCTGAAATAAACTTACCATTATAATCTTTACGAATAAAAGCACAATACATGGTTTAGTTGATTGAGAACTTGAATGATTTAATAAGAAATTATGACCATACAGGAGAAATCTTACTTTCTTTCTGGACTTCTAGAGGCAGAACGATGTTTGTCACCATCCAAGGAATCACTATTTCTTTCAGTTTTACGTTTCCGGCGATGACGCGATTCCCGACCCATATTTTCTAAACCAAAAAGATACCTTAAAAAATTGCTAGTTCAAACATGAAAAAGCTTGACAAACCTAAGAACATTTAGCTCTTCATATGACCTTCGCTTTCGTAAATCTATCAGTGTTTGTTTCATTCCTCACATAAAACTTTTCATTCAGTTCATCGCTTCAAGACCGGAATTCCTTTCCCAATAACTAATAAAATGATAATATCTCCTGCGATCAAATATTACCTGATACAGCGAGTGATAAAATGACAGGTTGAAAGCAGTCAAAAATAATGTGAACTTTTAACTTTGACCTGTCCGTTTGCTTTCTTTTTTAACATCAGTGCTTACAGTGGAAGAGAAATTTCTTTCAAATTAAAGCACACATGTGAACTTTAACTGTGGAACTTTTAACTTTGACCTTTTCCTACCAAGTTTAGCTTCACTTCCACGTTTAACTTCTGTAGGGTCCAGATCAATGTCTCAAAACAAACGGTGTTTGGTAGCTAACACAAATTATTGCATGACGATTTTCATTCTGTTTTTACTCGTAAACAACTCTTTAATTAAGGCTATATCACGTAAGTGCCTTTCCTCAATTCACTTTTAAGTAAATAAACTTGAAACTTACTTCTTCGTCAACTTTCTCAGACTCAACGCGAAAAGTATTCGATATATACATATTTTTTGCTCTTTGAGATTGTTGCAATGGTATGACAATTTTCATTATGTCCTCATCCTGAACTTTCTTTAATCGACGTATGTGATGAATTTTATATCAAAAGTTTAATTACGAAGTGTATGCAAATTTTGGCGGCAAAATTTGTAATAAAGGTGACTGCGATGTGTAACTGCCACTTCTCATTTCTTTTTTGATCGCTGGAAGGTAGGTGGGTCAAAGGTTGTGCCTTGATTTATTCATTGTTCATCATTGTGTTCGTGCTATAAAGATGGAGATGAGGTTGTCATCTTCACTGGTACTGTTTAACTTCGAACTATTTACCCATTACCATCTTTTTATTTGGCATATGTTGTAGCTTTTCCGTTCTTTGATCATTGCTTTTCTTCAAGGTCATCCATACTCTTGTCATCTGCTGCCAATAGATCACACATTACAACAGCCTTTTGGTATCAAAATTCAATCTTTTTTAATGTTTGAGCTTACTTCTAGTCAGCTAAATTCGGTCTTTTCTGCAGTACAGCCCTGTTTTTAGTCATTAAGTGATAACTTGAGTATCACAATTCGTAGTTATAACACAAACTAATCAGGAGATAAGCTGTTTTTGACCAAAATATACCTTCTTTTTATATTACAGTTGTATTACTAATTTGATTTTCCTTAAATTTACTCTATGGACTGAGTTTTTATGAAGATTATTATTGAATTCCTTGAAATCATCTGTTATTATTTCCTAGTCATTTAATAGCTTCTTAATTATACGATGAAAACTGCACGAGTGACTTGCAACATTAAATTTTTAAGCTTATTTTGATTCATGTCATTTCTCAAGACAATATGAATCTTTCAAGTTAAATCTTGAAAGAAACTTAGATTTTCAAGGTTTTTGATTTTATAAATCTGAACAAAAATTCATTACTGAGGAAAATTAGTTCCAAAGACATCTCAAACATTTTATTGTTCTTGTAGCAATGAGTAAAAATTATTACTTCCATTTTTTTCATTTTTGAGCTCGAAATTGATAGTTTCCTCGAAATTTGACTCAGAATGCCTCTCTACTACGAAACAAGTTTGTTGTGATGCCTCTCTACTAAGAGAATTAGTGATTCCTTTACTTCGTCTCCTTTATGAATACTTTATCTTTTACGATGTAATATATTCGGCGATATAATGCATTTCTTCATCAATAATATTTTGTTTTATAAATGAGGACAGATTTTTATTGCTTTTAGTGAAATTGGATCTAACTAGCACAAGTATACGGAATAGCAACAATGAATGATGATCTCTCTCAAGATTTTTACTACTCGAGCAAGTATTGCGACGATACCTATGAATATCGGTTTGCGCTTCGGTTTTAATTATCTAAAAGTTATTTATATTGTGAATTTCGAAATTTATCAGTTGTGAATTGGAATTTATCTGATTTAAATCGATGTGGTTGCATATCGGAGTCTAAAATGGGTGAAAGTAAAGTCTATAAACTCCATTATCATTACAAAAATTTGGATTTTATCTGTGAAACAGATTATAAATTCGAGAAAGAATTGGTTTCAAATATCGGAATTTGATTTTTGTCATAAGACGGACTAAAATTTGTCAAGTATAGCGTTATCATCTTGTGTAGGCTATACATATTACAACAATGTAATGAATTTGGACGGCATTGTTTACAGACATGTTCACATTCCCAAGGAACTGCTCCGCATCCTTCCTCGAAATCGCCTTTTGAGTGAAAAAGAATGGCGATCTCTAGGGATTCAGCAGAGCCATGGATGGGTTCATTACATGATCCATAGCCCGGAACGTCACGTACGTTAATTTTGCTTACATAAAACTTTGTATTTATATTCATGGTATCATACTGATATTACGTATGTTAAGGGGTATAAAGTCATTATCGACTGGTTTTCTAAATTTTGTTTTGACAAAAATATTTGTCGTAATCGCTTCATTCAAGCAATGAAATTCCACAAGTTTTAGATCCTTCTATTTCGTCGTCCCTTGAAAAAAGACGATGATGCGGGGGAGAAACGCCAATAAGTGAAATGGAGTAAAGAGGTCGCGATGCACCTTATTTGTAATCAAATAAAAATTTTTTTATTTGATTTTTAATTCATGTAAAATAAATGCCTGATGCTCTGGTTGATGGCATCCTGTCTTGATTCTTTTTATAAAAGATTTCTTTTTCATTACCTACTTTTTCTGTTAATATTTTTTCCATTAAAAAAGGCTTCTATTAAAGGGCACATCGACTACTTCTTTTATGAATCAAAAGCGAACAACTTCTAAAGATGCATCAAAAGCATGTTTTTCCAGTTTTCTGGCCCATAAACTTTTGTTAAATATGGTTAATTATCCAGATCTGAGTGTCATATAGTGTTGAGTTTAATGCTATAAGTGAACTTTCCATCTTGGTTTTTTCAAATAACTGACAAAATAGGCGTACTAATTTTGTCAGATGTTGGAGTATGTATTCACTAATTTATCTATGTTTGGATTATACAAAAACAAATTAAAATATTGTTTGAAATTTTTTAAAAATTGAAAAAAATTATCCAAAAATTTCATTTGGAGTAAAAAATTGTTTGAGAAAAAGTTACCAGACATCTTCTGTATTGGTCCCCAATCACTGCGTACATCAAGGAGTGTTTCATTATCGTGAGCTGCTCTCATTTCACCTTCAAAACGATTTATGGAATTGTACATGACTATTTCTTGTGATATCATGATTACTTCGCAGTTTCTTTGCTATGTTTAATGTTTCCTTCAAATGTGATCATGTTGATTTAGAACTGCGACTCATTGTTTTATTTGGCTTGGGATATTGAGATCGCGATTTTTCGTGATTATTACTTTCAACTGATGCATCATTGCATGTAGTTCTGTTTATTGGCGATATTATGATGAACGTTTTATAAACTAAATGTCTAGCAAACATTGCGTAACCTTCAGCTATAGCTTTCAATGCTCGCATTTCTGCCTTACTTTTAGGTAGAAAACATCTGGGTCTTTCTGACGGAACTCCAGCTCTATCTTGCTGTAATTGAAATACGTTTTAGTTTTACGGTAAGATCTAAGACGCTGATCTTTGTCCATATTAGATTGTCACCTGATGATACAGATTTTATTCGTTGTAACTTTGATTGAAGATTTAGTTTGTGACAGCGAAAAAGGTAGACAGTGGTGAAATACTTACATTTTCGCACCTCATTAATTCCGTATCACTTCCCGATTCCATAGTTTCTGGATAGTAGTAATTGCTCGTTATTTTAGTCTGTAACCTTGTGGGTTGCTCTTCGCTTGTTTTTGTCTTTTGGCTCTGGAAAATTAATTCAAAAGCATTGTGCCTTCGTAAATAATTTACTTCATATACTTAGTTACTTGGCAGGTTTTTGGTATACTAGGTGAGCTTACATAAACATGCATGGTTTGGATGTCTAAGATTTGCATAACAGCAATAATGATTAGTAACAATGAATAATAATGGTAGTAATACGCAGTAATTAATCTTTGAGTAATCAGTGTTTGCGTACATAAAAGAATTGTAACTCAAATGAATTATGGCAGAAAAATCAATTAAGCGAATCTGGAGTGCTCACGTGGTAAGAATCGAAAATGTGGTTTCAACCGTTAAAAATCTTGATACTAATGTACTCTTGAAAATTAAATCGCCACGCAGGTAAGCAAGCTTTTCATCCAAGTTAACGGTATGCTTTGCCTTACTTTACTTACTTTAACTTCTACATGTTTCGTAGCCTTCCTTTTTCCACAAATGACCAAAAGCACGAAGGCAGTGCTTACTGAGAGTGTTGCTTTTGTTATTGATACAATATTGAGCATGGTGCAAAAGTTGCTGCTGCTGAAATGACATAACTTAAGTAATTGCTTAGTTGAGTTAATTAATAATTTTGTCATTAAGCTGATGATAGTATGACGCAACTAATTAGATTACTTGGTAGCACTGACCGATAAGGGAAAGTAATAATTCCTGAAATGCTTGCTTTATCTCTCTATGATTTCTCTAAAAATTCTTCAGTGAATTTTAGCGTTGCTAAATTACCACAAACACACTTCCGGCTGCAATATATCGTTCAAAAGTGATTAATCTTAGTGGCAGTCTATTTGAGTGACTGCCTGCGTGCCTTTGTCAACATAGTAACGACTTTTTGTATTGCTTGTGACTTGTTAAGACATTTCTTGAAATAACTGATGGATTGATTTGGATGAAAACTGAATCAAAAATGAGCCAAAACTCTAGCAGTAATGTTTGTATCAACTTTAGCTCAATAATGACATTAATTATTTGTCTTCTGGAAATTATGCTCAGTTTGAACGAATTAATTCATGTTTGAGGAAAAAAGAAAGGACTTTGATTGATGAATAAGTGATAATCATTTAATTATGCAATGGCAACGGTGTTGTGAAGGACATATTCAGCCAAAGTAGTCAAGCTACGATTATTTACTACTTGAGGGTCAATTTTTTCGTGCTTAACAATACATTCTGGTCATTTTGTTGAAGGTCATTGTGATTTTCAACTTCTATAAGGTACTTTGCTCTAATTTTGCTGATATTAAATTACCCTCAAGTAAATCACAATTCCGTATTCATCACCTCTGACCTTCATGTGCAGTTTTGTTGGTCTGTAATGATTTTTGAATTTTGACTCACAATAAATTTTTGGTTTTCCTTTTGCTTATCAGGAAAGGGTGGTAATTTGATGTTACTGTTAAAGTGTTATCAAATTTTATGACAAAACTGAAGATTTTTCTCACATTGTAGACAAAAATTTGATCAGTAAATTTTTGCTAAATTCTAACAAAATATAACATGTAGTAGTAGTAGTAGTAGTAGTTGTTGTTGTTGTTGTTGTACTAAAATGGATGATGTCTGTCTGATATGTCGTAATTGTATTATAATTTGCGCATTATTCAAACATGCATTTATGTAGCTCAATTGATCATTAATGGTATAATTATTTGCTCCTTACAGAGTCTTTTGAAGAAACGTTGACTTTATGATTTGCTTTACATATTCCATTTCTGCCATCATTTCACTACTCTGAAAGTGTTAAATATTTACGACGTTCAGAAGTTTATGAATCTTAAAGAGCATTGAAACAAATGTAAAAGTTATCTTTGACTACCGAATACAGTACATGTACACTTTATTCTAGAATAGTAATGGTAGTAACTATTGTTACCAAGTAAATGCGCGCTGCTTACTTCAACTTTACCTTCTGCATTCACGATATGAAAATGACGCTTACTGTATTTTATTCAACTTTTATGCTTATTTTCATTTTGTAAAATAAATTCACCCAAATGTTTTACCCACTTGTTAATGCATAAAACCTATGCAGTCGCAATGCTCACTTCTTTTAATCTTAACTAGCACTAAATTCATTTAGTAATTGTAATTTTGAAAAGCTTGGATGAAATTATGATGATACATATCGCCAATTTGAGTTTGCTCATAATGTTTCATCAAGCTTGTGATTAATTATGGATGGAATTTGCATATTTTGCTGACTTTAAGCGATAAAAGCTGGAAATTTGATTAATAGTCATCTGAAAAAAAGAGTACTAAGCTTATGATTCCTTAAAATGGTATAGGGAATCAGTCTTTTAGATAGTTGTTCGTTCCCTTGGGTAGAATGCAGTGGTTTGCAGTGAAATAAGATGATAGACTGATAATCCGATTTAAGATCTAAAATGGGACTAATCGGGATTGGCTCTGGACTAAGGGTAGTTAGCTTCTCGTTGTGCTTCTCGTAAAATAAAGAAAAACTTTTTTGAAAGTAATGTTAACCACTTATCTAGTTAGTTAGAGCATAAATTTAAGCTTTTACTATTTGTGGGTCAATTATTTCTCACTGACCAAAAGCTTTTTTGCATCATTTATTATTTTTGGAGAACAGATTCAAAGTTTAGATTTCAACAGTTATTAACTTTTATAATTATCGTTATTATTAGTGTCATTTTACTATTTGCAGTCAAAATAATGACACTTAAATAGTTATTGTGATTTTCCGTGATTTATCTTTCTGAAAAATAAACTAATTATATAAAATGAATGCAAACGTTTCTTTCAATTTCTGTATACTATTGAGTGCAACGAATATTGAACAGATAAAGCTTTTCATAACTTCACAGTTTAATAAAGTTTTACTTGAAATATTAAGTAAACTGCTGCGTAATTTTTGATTCAGTTGAACAGAATATGCATATGTTTGACATGCACAAATATGACGATGAGAGATGCGAAAATTTCTAAGGTTTTTGGGAGGATTGATGTCCGTCCTTGACAACTCTATCAGTTTCTCATCAAGTCAGGTCTACATCTCACCTTTCACGCAATAAGATTGACCTGCCTTGCAAGTGATCATTTGCAAGCTTTTATTTTTAACTTTCTTGCGTCATTAAAATTATTTCACTCAGCTGATGCCAATTGTAGGCTGTTCGGAAACCTATCTTGAAATCCCTTCTATCGATATTGCATCTTAATTATGAGAGATCTTTTCAGAACAAATACTTTTTTCTGACCAAACTCATCACAAAACCATATTTTTAACTAATATTACGCTTATTTTAAGTTAGAAATAAAACTTTCAGCGAAATTATTCGCAATTAGTATGATAAAATGATAAAATATAATCTTAGTTATCATAAATTACCGACAAATTTTAACAAAATATAACATAGACAATGTAGTTAGTTGTATTTTAAAATAGCGAGAAGGTTGAATGAAGGACAAGTAGTGAAAACGGTCAGATGTTACTCCAGCCAGATGTTTTGTATTTCCAGCAGATGACTGACTACTCAGCAAAGACAAACGTGTAATTTTCGTTTTCCGTTGCAATTTAATTCCAAGAAAACTCATAATTACAACGAAATTTTCACCCCAAAAAAGAAATAATTTCATTAATTGTCTGATCTGAACTTTGTAAAGTTTACAGTTTTATTTTTCTTTGCAAGATATTTTTTATCCATGCATAATTGCTGCTAATTTTTATCCATCTCATTAACCTTCCTGTTTTTCACACTCTATAATTCTCGTGTTGAACGTTGATACGCAAGCTGTCAATTTGCATGCATATATATGCAAATGAAGCTTTATCTGACATGAACTGACTTATTATATTAATAAACCTATAGAAGCACATTTTTATATTTATGTAAACAATTTAAAAAATTACAAAATTTCAGTAATATTTCAAATTATTAGAAAAATGTTAGCAATTGAAAAATAAACTTTCTCAGTGAAATAAAGAGATTTCTTTAAAAAGTAATGCAATGAGAAAATGAATTTTCAAATTTTGAGCCGAAAATAGAAAAGAGTTAATGCCAATTTACAAGTATGTTTACACTGTTATAGCTTAGAAATACTCTCTTCCAAAATCATCGTTACTGAATTATGTTTATTTTGATAATAATTACTATAATTAATATAAATCGTGGCGACGAATTATCATGATCATTTGAAATGGATTGCATTTTTGTCATAGATAATGGACATTATCGTTTGTTCATTGAATGAATAAATGGTTTATTCTCTGGAGAGGAGTAAGTTCCACCTCCGCAATCTCAATCTCGATCTTAATCTTGACTTTCACCACGATACTGCTTGATTATATATTATATTAGTCATCACTTTCTCTTTCTTCACTGTTTCAACCAATACTTTGGATATATTTAATCATTTAAATTATTAACTGATCCCAAAACATTCTTGATTTCGATCTTTTTATCGTGATAAAAACCATGATAAAGGATAATGCGATTGAATTGCTTACATATGAGCAGATTTATCTCATTAATTAGGAAGAAGGTCACATAATCATTCTAAAAAATAAGAATATTTTTGAAATTATTTCTGATTTAATAAATGCTTTCAGTATTGTCTTCAGTTACTGAGATTACTTGTTGATGCACTTTTTACTTTCTTTTATATCGCTTTTTAGCAGTGAATTAATGTCTCTGATAAGCGTTGTCATTATAGCTATTTGATCATTTGGACTAAAAGTTATTAGTAATTGAATTAGTAGAGTTTAATTAATGCAAGTATTTAATAATGCAACTTAAACAGTTAAAGAAAGTTGTGGATAGTAATATTTGTTATTGCATAAGAAATGTGATTAGTATGTGATTAATTTATAAATTCCTTACGATAGAAAACTTTGATAAACAAGTCGCAGAACAAAATCAGCGAATTGAATCTTTGCTTGCTGCAAGTTTGGCAGATACAAACTCGAGATGTCAATATATACTTTAGAAAAATTGCTTCTCTTGATAACTCTGAAACCACTACCAATTACTTGCGATTGCTTTGTTGTATTTCATTGCATGAGCGATGAAATGCTAATTAATGCATTGGGTAAGGCGTATTCTGCTTTGATTGTGATGCACGACATAAATGCCTCAGTTAGATTATATGAAAATGATCTTTGAGGGGTCAAAGTTTGCTTGGCCAAATGAGTCTACAACTAACAATGCCCAATTTCTTCAGCAAGTCTTTGGTCTAAAGATTGAATAGTCAACTGCCTTTGAGATGAGATGAGATGATTCTAGATTAGCAAAACTCAAACCCAAATTCAATTAAATTTTGAATATTCTTCTTCCATTATTCATGCACAATTGTATTCTTAATAGATTATTTGTGCGAAGTGAATCAAGATCTATTTCACCTGTTAAGCAGTCTGCCAAAAATTCTCACTATAAACGTTTACACAATGCAAGACAATTATTTCAATGAAACTGGCAAATTTTATAATGCACAACTGAGAAAATCTATGAAATCTTGACCACTGACCAATAAAAAAAGTAGTGGAAATAATATTT